AAAAAAAAAAAAAAAAAAAAGTACAGTTTTCCCAATTAAAAGGCAAGACCCAAGTATATAAGCTGCCTAAACAATAGAACAGGATTGAAAAATACACTATGCTAACAGTCATCAAAAGAAAGCTGGAGTAGCTTTATTAACATTAAACAAAGTAGATTTCAGAGCGAAATATATGACTAGGGATTAAAAATTAATTTGACAATGATAAGGGGAGGTGGAAGAGAGCAACCCTAAATATTCACACATCTAAAAACAGAGATTCAAAATCCCTAAAGTAAAAACTGACAGTACAGCAAAGAGAAATGAACCATCCACAGCTATTGCTGGAGATTTCAATAACTCTCAGTGATGGACTCATGCTCCAAACATTCCTTCTATTCAGAGAGAGTCCTCCTATCACTGAGTGCCAGTGAAGAAACCCATGCCTGCACCTTTTAGAAGCCTTTTGACACAATGGACACTGAAAACCACAAGTAAGTTCTTCACTGATGACATCACGCTGGTTTCAGGCTTCCCTCCAAGGGAGTACAGCCACTGCTCCCAGCCAGAAATTTGAGTTCTAGTTCCCATAGGTACACTGAAAATTAACAACTCAGCCAGGTCTCCAGTTTTCTTGACCTCAATTTCATCACTTATATAATGAAAGAGCTGTGCTAAATTACTTTTAAAATCCATTGCTATGGTCTGAATGTCTGGGTTTCCTCACCAAACTCCTGGGTAGAAGCCTAATATCCAGGGTGCTGGTAGGGCACTGGGGTGGAGACGGTGGACATGATCAGGTTATGTGCTCAAAACCCCCAAAATAGGGATCAGGGACCTTAGGAAAGAAGCTCCAGACAGCTCTCTTGTCTCTTGTCGCATGTGAAGACACAGTGAGAAGACCACGACAGAAAAGGTTCATGGGACAGGAAGCAGGCCTTCGGCCAATATTGGTGCTTCCCAGGTCTGCAATGGTTAGGTGTAAGTTTCTGTTGTTCCTCTGCCACTCGGTCTAGAGTATTCCGTTAGAGCAGCCTGAAAAGACTAAGGCATCCTGTAGCTTGTGCGTTTCAGAATTTATGTCACCAGTTGTTACCATTTCAGGTTAAATCAAATCAGGCCTTGCACCCTGAGTTCCTGGGAAGCCTGTCTGAGTGCTCTAAGGAGAAATATAAGCATCTAAATTAAACGTAAGAGAGCAGATGGCTGGGCTGAAACCCGTGATCCTCTTACATTAGCCTCTCTCAATGATGTGGAGATGTGAAGGGGTCTTAGGGGTGGGGATGGCAGGGAACAGGAAAGTGGGAAGGGGAAGTGAAAAGGATCAAGATGCAATATGTGCCAACTCTGTATGATGAATATATTTACTACAGATCTCAAATATACACTAAAAAAAGGGGAGGTACTGACCGATGGCTCTGTGGCTCCAAGACCTTCAAGATGGAACGGACGGAAGTCATTCCAATAGGCAAGGTGCTCCAGGCATTTCTCCCATCTTCTTGTGTAAGGTGTCCAGTCCTCTGCATCCCACCCACTGAACAATAACCCAGAGTGAAGTCCCTGCGAGACTTACCCGGGGAGGCACGGCCTGCAAGGCAGTGATGTAGTTCTCCAGAGCCAGGCGGCGGCGGTCGTTGAGCATGGCTTCCACTCTGGCCATGTGGGTCTCCACCAGCTGCTGCCTCTCGTTGGCCGCTTCCTGCTCTAGAGACTCCACTTTCTCCTGGAAATGCTGCCATCATAAACGAACACACATCAGGGTAGGAATGCACAGGACTGGGCAGTTAATCCAAGACTTTCCCAACATTTTAACTAATTTTGGACATTTTATAGGCTACCCCCCTTTCCTATACTCCCTACCCTCCAACCAAACCTAAAGTCTCACTGGAAATCACTGTTGCAAAGGACTGATATGACTGATGATGATAAATTTGTGGGAGCTCTTACATTATGTATTTAAAAAATTTTGCACCTGTTACTCAAAGTACTTTCAGCAAATAACCATGATAATCTCTGTTTATTTAAGATCATTTGGAGGCTGGTTTCAGTCCAAAATTCAAATTCTCACCTAAGAAGTAGCAGAGAACTAGGGCAATGAAAAAGATGTATTATGAATAAAAAAAAAAAAGTAGACTGCAAGGAACAACTTGAGTATTACAGCAATTGATTATACCTTGAAATAACTGGGAACAAATAGAAGGAGGGGTTTACGCAATTCAAATGCTACCTAATGACCAACTCCGACCTCACTGGAACCCTGCGCAGGTTGCCGCCCCATCCTGCTCAGGAGGGAATGGGGTCAGATGTTACCTGGATCACAGCCTTCTTATCAGCCTTGGGCAAGTTCTTGGCTTGACGTTCTGCCTCTTCCCATTCTCGCATGACCTACGCAAGTGACAGACAAGCTGAGAAATCATCACCTCTTCCCTGAAACACAGGCAGAACTGCGTGCATTGTAGTATTTATTTTCTATTTCTATCGTCATAAATATCTTTTAGGGGCTGGGGATTTAGCTCAATGGTTCCACCACCTGCTTCCCAAGCGCAAGGTCCTGAGTTTGATCCCTGATACAAAAAAAAAAATTTTTTTTAAATCATATACACACTCCTATATGAGCAATATTTCACCTCGTGCACACCAATTTCCCGCAGCACTGTATAAATAAATGTTCACATGACAGGAATGTAGTTTTTGAAACAAGGTTGGTCTTTTTTTATTTCCTTGAAGAAAGAGCCAGAAGTCAACTTACTCGATGTGAACAAATACCAACTATTCATAAAAGGTATGTACTCCCTCAGGAAGGTCTTTCATTAATAAGTTAAATGGGATGACTTCAGCATTCCATGGTGTCACATTAAACATTTCAACTGCGTATTTTTAGTATGGGAGAAAATAACATGCATAACATTTTTATACATGTATATGTGTCATATAATGTTTCCAAAAATACATAAGGAGGGAAAGAGAGGAAGACTTCTGCTTACTAACTTAGCAAGGATTACCTCAAATCCCTCCAGAAATCCCAAGAAAAGGTACATTACAATATTCCAACTATAGCAAAGAGAAGCACTGATTTAGTAACCAAGTCAATCTTATTTTAAAAAAGTAAGGCTTTCTGTTCCCAGCCTTCACATCCACCTGGATCTCCCTGAGAGGTGTAACTGCAGTGCTCTAAATGCACAGAGTGAATGTTCTCAGCTGTGTATCTCACTGAAAAAAAAAAAAAAAAGACTTAGTTTCTCACAACCCATGGCTATGCTTTCCCTTTCAAGTGTACCACCAGCTCGCCCATGGAGTTCAAATGAAGCACTTTCCTGAGCTAGGATGGCGAAAAAAGAAAAATCAGGTCAGCAAAATACTGGCCTATTGCCAGATGTGTACCTCTATGTGCATAATTTGCATACTTTCAAAGCGTGAGAAATTTCATTACTATTCTGTGCCCGTTATTTATAGATATTTAATCAATTTTAAGGAATTGATTGTTTTGGTATCTTTCAAGAGTAGGAAATCTTACTGGGGAATAGGAATGTGGAATGAGAATAGCTCCTGAGGGACAGGAGGGGTTCTGAATGGGTTATCCTGTGATATCTTTCAAAATCACAAAGAAAAAGGTTTTGGAAGTTCTTGGAGAGAACATCTATGAGGTAATACCCTGTCCGATCACCATCTGAGATTCTTCTTAGGTACTTTACTGTCTGCTAACGTAACATCTTTGCAACATTCATCAGACCAGGTATACTTCATATAAGACACAACGCCCTTGTTGCTTCCGGGGTGTTATGGAGAAATAAAATAGAATTAATTTTTCTCTATACACGAACAGCATATCAATACACTCAATGTCGACAGTAAGATTTGGACAAAAGCCAGTATCAGAGGAGGCTGAGGCAGGAGGACCGCAAATGTGAGCCCCGCTGGGACAACTTCACAGTTTAGTGAGATTCTATCTCAAAAGAAAACATAGATAAGGGATGGGATCTTAGGGAAGTGTGAAGGCCCTGAATTTAATTCCCAGTACAGCAGGGGGAAAAAAAACCCCACAAAAGCAGAAAGGGGGACAAAATACCGCAGGAACATGGTGAGCAAGAATACAGTACATATACAAAGCAAACACGTTGTCCCAATTATTTTGGCATTTCCATGTGTTAATAAAGGGTATCAGTGAGCTAGATGACACTGAAATCTATCTTTGCTTTATAAATATGACAACCCTCGCAGTAAAACTTCCAATTTCCTATAGGGAAAATGGCCACAATGAAGGTACTCTACCAAGAATTCCTTAGGCAAGGAGTTGTAAAATTAGTTTGAGATAAAAACCAAATGTCTTACTGGAATGTAGGGGGAAAACGATTTCCCACATTACAGTTACAGGTCTACCATCGTCACTTACACATTTCAGAACCCAGACTTTCAGCTTTGACTTGGGGATCCATGGAATGATTCCTTTTTTTTTTTTTTTTCAGCTATCATACTGAAAATAAGCCCTATCACAGAAGTAAACTCAAGCTTTGATTTTACAGAACAATTTACCAATATCATACACTGCCTCAAATAAAACAAATGAACCACTTCAACCATCACAGTAGAAAGTATTAGAAATGGATGTGGACTGTAGGCTGCACATCTCCTGATCAGTGGCTTCCACTTAGGACAATAATACACAATGTTATGCTAACCCGACTAAGCACTTTACCAATCTGTCTAACTTAAACTGTCTGCTCACAATACACTCTGAGACCAGGCATGGCCATTCCTATTTTATGGACAAGATTAAGGTCTAAGCTCTGAAGGTCATATAAGTAATAAATGGAGAGGACAGGATAATAAACCAAACACCCTACTACTCACTTACTCTGCCATCTTAAAATGGGAAATCTTTCCAGTGAGCTAAGTTTATTTTTACTTAGTGACAGCAGAAGAGCTGACCTTGAGATGCTACCACCTTCAAAATAAAAAAACTTGGAGTCAGTTCAGTTTTCATCTTGAAGGGCTTCATTTTAAGTACACATTAAAACTATTAAATATGTAAGTAATAAAAACACTTTTACACCATCCGGCTGCTTCTTTACAGCCACTAAAGGCTACTCATAACATATAGCAACAAAAGGTTTAGAGTTGTGATCACCACTACCATCACGACCGAAATAAAAGTAAAATTTTAAAAATGCAAAATTCTCAGGATCTGGGCCATAGGGCTACTCTGAATAAAGCAATTTTCCACTACATGTACAAAGGTATCAATTTCCTGCAGCTTTATTGGTCTTCAAAGACTTGGCTGTTTCATGCAGAGAAAAATGATCACTACTAAGTAGAGATTTAAGAGGCAGGCAAGTTCAAAGTCAAAAATTCCCCGGAATTCAGCACCACAGATAATGAAGATGAATGCCGAGCTCTAGCACCTCACATTCCTATGACCAATGAAAATGTAGGAGACTGCATTTTCTTTAGGATAACGTCTGCTAAGTCACCTCAGGTATATCTGATGAGTAGTAGATGAAGAAAATTTCTCAAAAATTATAAAGACTGGGTCAGGGTTAAACAGATAATGCACTAAAATAAAAAGTTTCTCTTTCAGCAGAGAAGTATCATATTTGAAATTAACTTGTCTTACTAGGATCAAAATAATCCAGATATAACAAAAAAATATACTTTTTCAAATTGGTGACTAGATAGATCCAAGAATGAGATGCAAGTTTAGTAAGACTCACATAACACACAGGAACTAAAAGATGGTTACACTCCAGCTGCAGATATCAGTCACACATATGGAAAGATCACTAATAAAAATGGGGAACAAGGGGCCGGGGATTTAATTAAGCGGTTCCGTGGCCTGCCTTGCAAGCCCAAGGACCGCAGTTCAATCCCAGGTACCAAAACAAAAGCGGGGGCGGGGGGGCGCAAATACTTAAGAGTCCCGTGAAAGGTAGATGATTGCCTGACCCATTCTGAGAACTAAGGGGGTGCACTGAAGGGGGTAGATGTGTCACTGTGTCACAGAGTACGGAGCACTGCTGGAAGTCAAGGCTGAGAGCAAAAGGAGCCCAAGGTAAAGGGGGACAGACGGGGGTGGAGGTGGGGTGTGCTGAGCAGAGAAGCAACTTCCTGCTGTGCGCAGGGCAAGGCAGCGAGAGGGCTGGGGTCAGCAGCAGTCAAGGTGCGTGACAGGCTGAGCACCACTGTTTATTTCTGTTACTCTTCTTTCAGTCTTCTGGACAATTTGTGGATTTCTGGGAGCTTAAGAATTAAAGAGAGGACTTAAGTTTACAAAACAACAGTTCAGTAGCAAAATATTCTACTTTCAGTCCTCCGATGCAGTCTTAAAAATGATTCTGTATCTGCCTGCGACTTTCTGAAAGAAAACCTTGTCTTTCGCAAAGGAATTAGCTTCAGGGGAAACCTCACTGATCCATGCCAGCTAGCTCTCCAGCTTTCCTCTGGGACCACCGATAGAGCTGTGCAAGTATAGTCCAGAGGCAAAAGTATCATCATTATAATAAATTTTTTCCTCTATGTTATTATACTAAAGTAGATCCAAGAAATCTAGTTAGTCATCTTTTTAAAAGAAGTTAATTGTGATGATCCTTTTTAGACACATCATTAGTTCTTTTCTTAAAGTGTAGGTTTTACTCTTCTGGTATGGTGAGGCCGAGTGATCAGGAGGGAAATACTACAGAGCAGGCACTCTGCTTCACAGTTCCTAAAAGGTGGGTGCCTAGCGTGACGCACAGGGCCATGTGGTAAGCAGGAGGCAGAGGGAGAGGAGACAGGGACGAGAGCCTGTGCTGGAGATTTCAGGGGAACGATGGGAAAGGCAGGGTAAACAGGTTTAGGACTGACTAGTTTTTAAAAAAGGTGGATGCTATGGGATGCTGGGGCTGTCCCTCAAGGTGTGACCAGAGCATCTTAAAAGCTAGATAGTGAAGGTACTTGGGAGTTTGGGCTTTTGACTGCTTGGTTTGCATTTGACAGACAAGCTTCCTAGGCCATTCAATGGCTATCTCTAGGAACTGCAGTGCGCATGTGTGTGCGTGTGCCTGGTGTGTGTGTGTGTGTGTGTGTGTGTGTGTGTGTGTGTGTGCATGTGTTTGTGTGTTGTCTTCCCTAGAGTCAGAATGGCCTCCCTCAGATCAGCACATAGGCTAAAACAGGAGGACTGCAAGTTGGAGGTAAGCCGGGGCACCTAACCTACAAATTAAGAAAGAATAAGATAAAGAGGGAAGCAGGGAAAGAGATTGAATGAGAGAGAGGGAGGGAGCGAGAGAAAAGCTGTGAAGATTACAAATTAGAGATGAGCTGGGCAGTTTAACTAAAAAAAGTTTTCAAAAAAATTTAAAGGCAAGAAAAAAGGAAGGGAGGGAGGGAGGGAGCGAAGGAGCCTGGTAATGAGGCGTAGAGGTGGACGTCTGCCTAGCTATGCATAAGTCCGGGTTAAAATCCCAAGTACCTGGAAAAAACACAGAAAATAAAGAGCCACTATGATAGTCCACTAAAGACTTAATCTGATCTTGGAAAATACACGATAGGCCAGTTTGTGAATTATACTTAACGTCTATCAAGAGACTCTTTAAATATGCTGAGCATGACAAAAATCAGTCCCATTTTCTCATATCTACCACAGTTTGCTAACACTAAAACAGTGAACATTTGGCTTGATCCAAGATCTCTATTCACTTGTGTTCCCTGTATCTTCTCACATTTACTTTTAACTTGGTAGACACCAACTAGAAAAGCGGCTGGCAGATACTAAATGCTGGATGTGTATTTTCCTAATGACGGACTCAATGAGAAATGCAAGAAAGGGTTAGAACTCCTTAATGACAGTGGATGGAGCCTAAATTGCAGTTAATATGTATAAACCAATCACGTTTCACAAACTATTTTAGAAGCTTGTTTAATAAAGAATTTGCTAAAATAAAAGGGCTTGCACTGCAGTTCATTTGGAGAATGACTGTTCGGACACCAAGAAATGTTTGGGCATCAAGGGTCCCGTGTTGTGCCAGGGTGGGAGCCGTTCTCTTGCATCTTTATTCCGTTAGCTATCACCTACGGGTGCAAATTAAATGCTCACTATTTTTCAGTTCACCTTTAACTTCCTAGGGTTCCATGAATTCCCACCGTAAGAAATGGTAGGGCCAAAGTCATAATAATTTGGTATTTAATATAAAAATATTCCCTTTTACTAAAGAACATTTTAGTGGATTTTGTCTTACAACATGATGGTTACTGGCACTATATAAACAGAGTAAAAGACTCAAGGTACTTTAAAAAATAAACCTTATGGTGTACTTTTAAGGTATATTTGGTATTGTAAGATACATATGAAACAGTAAAAAGTTAATCATTGTGAAAGAAATTAACAGATCTTTCATTTCCCACTGTCACCCACCAACTAACTCTTCTCACCAGAGAACTTTGTAGATGTAATTTAATATGTGCTTACAGAATCCTGGATCTTTCCTAGGTAGCATGCTCACAGAGGTGCATAAAATGCCAATCAATGTCCTTCCCTCAAACATTTCAGAATGAAACCCTGCAACTTTGAAGATAAAGTTCTTGGACCCATTGGGAGACTGAGGCAGGTGCAAGGCCCGATTTCTCAGTACCGTAAGATAAAAGAGATGGAAGCATCAGACATACTTGGGACATTCTCTCTCGATGCTTGGCCTCCAGCCTCTCTTTGGCTTTCTGGAAGTGGGCATGCTCATTCTCATCACCAGGGGTCTCGAGATACTTGTCAACGGCGTCAGGGGTGCTGGCTGCTGTGGTAGGAACTAGAAAGTAGAGAGGAAAGTCTGAGAAGACGTGCAGAGCACCCAATCCTTTGTATGAAAGCCACATTTTCATTTATTTCCCAGCACAGAGAATTTAGCAGAGAAGCACACACAAGATGTTAATGCTTTTAAGAGAGCACCATAAGACATCTCGCAGTAAAGGAAAAGAAGGATTTTTTTACTTCACTCTAGTAGAGAGAGAGTGAAGTCACTCTAGGAGGGAGAGAGTAAAGGAAAATCTAAAAGAGCACATTTTGCAATTTGAGCATTAAAAATTCTTTGCAAAACAAGTATGCACAAATGCTTAATAGGGACACATTTTCCCAAATCCTCGTGCTTTCCTAGATTAAATTTTTTGGAATCTTGAAAGCAAAGAGTAACATCAATATCACACCTTGAATTTGCTCCTGAGGAGGATCCCAAGTTTGAGTCCAACTTATCAACTTAACAATGAGATGTGTAAAAAAAACGCTGGGGGTGTAGCTCAGTGCAAAGGTCCTGAGTGCAATCCCCAGTACTGCAAAGGAAGAAGGAAGAAGAGGGGAGGGGAGGGGAGGGGAGAGGAAGGGAAGGGAAGAAGGAAGAAAAGGAAGGAAGGAAGGGTTCCTGGAGAAGCCAAAGAAGTATGAAGTTTAGCACACTGTACAATAACTGCACCTCCGAGAAAAGGTAAATTCTGCCTGATGTATTTCACAGACCTGAATTATAAAGCCATCCTTCATGACAGAGTGTTTGAAACACTATAAAAAGCCATATAAATGTCAATAAATGCATTCGTGAAATCACAAAAGGACCTTGTACCTTCACAAATTTAGCAATAGTTGGCAATTCATTATACTACTTATCAAAAAAGTGATTTTTATTTGAATTCAACTATTTTGCCAACAGTAATTGAATTGTAACACACTGCTATATTATGCGGAACCATAAATACTCATAAAACTAGACAGTATAATGCAAAATCAAATGTTCTAACCCATGAGTGAGTGAAGTATAATGTCTATAAAGGTAGGTTTCCAAGGACCACTGATAAGTATTGAGAATTCAGTGTTTAGGAGCCTGAAGAAAAAGAGATTTTGACTTAAAGGAGAACACATTTAACTTAAAATGAAATGAAATGCTTTTACTATCTTTTCAGGTCAAATCAATTTAAACATTCTATTCAAATATCATCAACGTTCCAAATCTTCTTTTTACTTTTCTCATTTAATCACTTGGGTGTTTATACTTGTGAATAGCCCCAAAAAGACTTCAAAGAAAAGAATTTTTGGCTGAGTCATTTTGAAACTACAATCTAAGTTACATGTCTTATAGATGCTCCAGAAAATGTCAAGGATCTTAACTCAACGGTTTCTAGATATTAACAGAAACCAGAAAGCTTTGTTGCTAGATAATCAAATAATTAAATAATGTACTTAATTTTAAAGCGGAACATTCATTCTGATTTCTTCCCTTCTACTTTAACTGCTGATTAATTACGATTTTTCAAAAATAAAAACTGCTGAAGGATCTACCCAGACATTGCATTCAAGTAGAAAGAAGCAGGTAGGGCACTTCCTGGATCCTCATACAACGGGTCTGTAGCAGGAGGGAATGGCGTGCCGTCTTACCTTGGCAACAAGTGGGGGAAGGAAAGAGCATACACCCCTTTATAACTGTCAACAGCCAAATTTTGAATTTCAGTTCTTTCTTCACCCTGGCTAGGACCAAGGGCAAGTAACTTGAGTACCTTATATTACAGTTGCTTTCTGCCCCCTACCCCAGCTTTCTTTTTTTAAATCTCTCCCTCTCCCTCTCTCTCGCTCATGTTGGGGATGGAACCCAGGGCTTGTACATTCTAGGCATGTGCTCTGCCACTGAGAAGGACTCCCTGCCACTCCACTTTCTTTAGGAAGTGAAGCCAACATGCTGTATGAAATAATAGGGGTGTCGGAGAAATGAGATACAGCACCGTGTATGAGTCACACAGGGTAATTCATTCACGTTCTGAATTTCTTCCTCTTCTGTTTATCACATGAATATTATTTCAATTCTTATTGCTTTTGCTTTCCATGGGAAAAATGATCTGCTTTTATTTCAAACCCCCTGCAGATGAATTACACACAGGACTACGAAGAGTCAGCTGCAGAAGAAGTGATAGGGATTTTTCTAAAAATCCTTCAGTATAATCTATACAAAAGGCAAAAGTATTGAAAAGTGGTGAGTTCTTAATTGGTAAAACTAAAAAACAATTTTCTTTTTTTTCCTCATTGAGTTTACTGGTACATTTTAGGTGTAAAGTACAGTTACATTCATCATTGGGATCTTGTACCTTTACATGACAGGTCTTGGTTCTCGTTGTTTCCCCTTGTCCCTGCCCTCCCTTCACCCCCTCCTTCCTTCCCTATTTACAAATACCTTATTTCCATTTTTTCATTTTCTTATGTTTTTTTTCTTTTTCCTTATTACCTTTCCTCTGTCCTTCTCACTTCCCCTACACCTTTAGCCCCTTTCTTCCTATGTCACATTGGCAATTATATCATTAGGATCTAATGTACCATTATAGTTTTTCAAACCAGAGAAACTATTCAGTATTTACACATGTGTGACTTATTTATTTCACTTAGGAGTATATCCTCAATGATATAATGAGTATATCATTGAGTATATCCTCAATGATATTGAGTATATCCTCAATGTATCCATTTTCCTACAAATGACTCTAATTTCTCATTCTTTACAGCTGAGTAGTATTCCATTTTTTTCTAAAAAACAATTTTCAATCGTTTTTCTTAAAAAATAAAGATCTAAGGTAAATTTTTTTCTGTGTATAATGAAGCAAGTCAATATGCGCATATATTTTATTAATCATTTTCCAAACATAAAAATGGAGGTAGTATCTATAGTTTTAAGTTTGTTTGCCATGGTTTTAATAATTTTCCCATCTTTACTGGCTGAGTGCAAATGACGACAAGTTAAAGGCAGAAAATAAAACAATAATATTTTTTTGGCATAGTACAATCCTGCACAATGACAGGATTAGGCAAACCATGCTTTACACTTTAAACAAATAAAAATGTGTAACTGGTGGGTACGTATGTGCTGAACAAGATGGCCATCTGGCTGAAAGTCACACAGCACTTCACCCACTTCAGAAAAAACAATGTGCAAACAGGAAGTTTTCCAACTCCTGTGATTGGCAACTTTGGTTTTTCTCTAGTTTCTTTGGCAAGGAGTGCCTAGGAATTGACACTGAATTACAATCCCAGCCCATTTTTCAACTTTTTTACCTTGAGACAGGGTCTCTCTAAGTTGCCAAGTTGCCCAGGCTTGGCTTAAACTTGAGATCCTCCTGCCTCAGCTTCCCAAAGTGCTTGTACAGACTTGTGTCACTAGATACAGATTACAAATACTGTTACTATATAAACTATATATACTGTATATACAGAAAGATGAAATAAATCAGTATGAGATAAATCACCATAATCTTTGTCATAAATTGAAATATAGCTTTGCAATACTAAAATAAAAGAATAATCAAGAAGTAAACATGTAAGCTTTGCTTAACAATAGTAAGAATACTTGGACAATTAAATCTTCTTTATGAAAATAAATATATTATCAATTTATTCTATTTAATCAAGAAATATTTCAGGAATAGTTTTCCTGTGTAAACTGGACTGGGTCACAGGTGCCCAGATTAACCATTTTTCTGGGTATTTTGGGATGAGGTCAGCACACAGATCTGAGTATAGGTGACTGGCTGCCTGGATATAAGCGGTTACCATCATCCAATCTACTGACGGCCTGACTAGAGCAAGATGGCTGAATCACTGCTGGCTTTCCTGGGCTGCAGATGATGGGTCATGGGACTTGTCAGCCTCCATGATAATTCCTCATAATAAAATTGTATATGTAAGTGCATGTACATGTACACACACACGTACACAGACACAGACACACACACACACACACACACACACACACACACACAGGAATCCTGCTTCTCTGGAGAACACTCAGTAATGTAATTTCACTTCAAGCAAATCTTTACTAGGGGTCTTAAATGACCTGTGGTAAAGAAGCTTAAGAGAAGTTGCATCTTTTTAAATGTTTAATTCAAATTGTTTAGCCATTCATACTAATTATTAGCCATCTCAATTATGAATACGATTGCCCTATATTCATCCCACCCGGAAAACCAGGTCGGCACTGTCAGTGAGACAAGAACGATAGCAGGTGATGACATTTTAAAATGAACTGAGTATTTTTAAAGTGTGGGGAGGAGGAGGGGAAGGACGTTTTTAAGGACAAGGTCCAGAGAGCTCAGCTTCAGTTTCAGCACCTCATTCCATCCACATGAGGGGTCTCCAGCACTGACCACCCCGTGACGAAGCACCGTGAGGCCAGAGACTGCTAACACAGGGCTACAGTGGCAGGAAAGCCTGTGCCCGAGGAGTGTCAGGGTGTGTCCCAGAGCACAAAGAGAACGGGAAGCACAGAGCACACATCACACACACTGAGACACAGCGCAGTAACCTTTTAAATAGGAGAAAGGAGCTAGTTCGAAAAGGTTTATTTACTTATTTTTTTAAACTACCACCAGGCATGTAAGACTGTTCAGAGACCCCTGAGGTTCCTCAGAAGCTACTATACAGGCTTAGATTGCCAAACTGGCCAAACAACTTCTTTTCATTATTGTGTTAAGGACATCACGTGTTCCCATGAAGATGTATGAAGGAAAAAAATTACCCTATTGAATTTTGCAGCGGGCAATCATTTTATCAGGTAACATACTTACATCCCAAACACAGAATCTCAATTTATGATTAGGTAAACCATACAAGGGTCATACATTAAATTTTTGGAGCATTAAAGAGATAATCTAACCACATGTCCCGGCACTGCAAGAGGTTTTTGCTTCATTTTGTTAATGAACAACTTGTCTCAGCACACATCTCTAGGCGTATTTCCTATTGAGCAGCTGTTCTGCCTAGAGAAGTAGCGTTGTCAAACAGGGG